ATGTACTGTACTATGAACACAATCACAGTGATTATCCCATTTCTTTAGATGTTTCATAGACCTTGCTACTTCCTTTTCCTTAACTGTATTGCATAGTTTAAGTTTTCTTTTTACATCACGAACTCTCATGAAATTTACTCAAAGTAAGTTTGAAAGTTCATATGACACTAAACATAATTCTCATTTAAATATTTACTTTGGGATTCTGGATGACATGACTCTTACACATGGAAGCAATTTTATTGACCAATTAAAAATGATTTGAAGCTTTATTTATTTTTAAGTATACTAAGGTTTGGAATCCAAGGCTCAGCTTTCAAAGTTTGGGTGTTTGATGAACCACCTTTGTGTCAACTGAGAAAGTGGACCAGAAGCATTAAAGGTATCTTTAAAATAAACAAAAAGAAAACATATTATAAACATATTGATTATCTCTCCTTCCTTCAGTAGCATTTCGTTAATATTTGGAGTGCACCAGAAACTGTGGTAGAAGTTTGGGATCGAATATATCAATTTCCCAGAGTCCTTGTACAGATACAAAAGCAGCACTGGGTTCAGTTGACATAAATTTCAGTCCTGGCCTCTGTTACTAACCAGCTGAATGACCTTGTACAAATCACTTTCAATTCTGGGGATTCATCTATAAAATAGTGATGGGTCTCTTGTAGCTTTAATGATATTTGGTTACATTTATCTCAAAAGAAATGATAGAATATAACTAAAGGAGAGTATGTAGGTAAAAGCAAGCCACGCCAGAAGTCATACATTTTTCTTTCTTGACATTCATTTGTTAATGAACAAAACTTATACATTTAAATTTTTCCAAAGTCATCATATTATAAATCAATTGGTTATTTTTATAATTCCTCATTCCTTCTGTAAACATTTATATAATGCTTGCTCTCTACCAGAAACCATGCTAGTATTTGAGATCAGATATGAAATATATATGCTATGCCTTGAAAGAGCCCACAATCTAGTAATAAAGATAGAGAAGAAAACATAAGTTTGGGTGTTAAGTGCTATCCACAATCAACAAATATTTACTGTGCACCTATTATGCTTGGGATGCATTCGTAAAACAAAACTGATAATGATTTCTGTTTCTGTGGAGCTTATATTCTAATGTGAAGATCAAACAATAAAGAATAAATATGAAAGTAATAGATGATATAGTACGATGGAAGGGGAAAAATCATGTGGTAAAAACAAAAAGTAGAGCAGGTTACAAGGGAAATAGGGGCAGCTGTAGTAGGGGTTGAGGGTAACGCATTGGACTGTTAGGAATGGCCAGAGTAGGTCACATTGAGAAGATAACATTTAAATGAAGACTTGAAAGAAGTAGGGGACTGGTTAACCACAGAAATACCTGGGATGGGGCAATATAGGCAGAGAGAACTGGCAGTGGAAAAGCCCTAATGTTGGACACAAGGGTGACTGGAATGAAGTGAGAAAGAAGGAGAGTAAAAGGTGAGGACAGGAGAGCAGTAAGGATAGGTATGGGCAGAGCAGGTGGGGCTGTCCAGGAGATGTTTACTTTCACTATGAGCGAAACAAGGGAACTCAAGTGGCTTTGAGTAGAGGAAGGACATTGTCTGACTTAGATTTTAATAGGGCATCCTGGATATCGTGTAGAGAATAGATTATGGGAGCTAGGTTGGAGGTAGGCAAGAATAAATCAATTAGTAGAGTATCACAGAAATAGAGGCTAGAGATGGTGGTGTGGACCAGGATGGTAGCAGTTGAGATGATGATAAGTGATCAGATTCTGGATCTATTTTGCAGGTAGAGCAACAGAGATTTTGGTGGATTGGATAAAATTATGAGGGAAGGCAAAATTCCCAAAATTCGTCTCAGTTTGGGACAGTATAGGAATGTTCCAGACTGAGACAAATGCCCCTTCCTATACTTTGGAAAGTGTAGGAATGATTCTGAAAGGAATTATTAATTAATTGAATCTCGAAGAGACACAAGAGTATCTGAAGGTGCCAGATAAGGCAGGTGGGAGTGGGGAAAGAGTCTTGTAGTTGAGAACTAGCATTCACAGAAAGTATACAGGCAAAATAGAGGCATGGTGTGTTCAGGGAACTGCAAATAGCGTTAATGGAAGGAAGAGTGAAGGTGGAGCATACAGCTGGAGATGAGCCTAGAGACCTGGACAGTAGTTAGATCCTATGCCAGGAGAGATTATTACTTAGAATAATCTTTAGCAAGGCATAATTCTAAAAATCTGTTTTGCAAAAGGAATATTTAAACTGGGTCAGCTTCAAACAAGATTCATGGTGAGTTGACCAATGCTGTAATTAGCTAGTGGGAACACACCAGAGCACCAGGGAGTATTTTAATCCATTTAAAAATTCTCAGGAGGCCTAGTTTTTTAATCTTATAATGATGAGAGCTGTTAGAGAATTGGCTAAAAGTGTCCCTTGTCAGAAGAACCTGTGAGTAAATGTATTGAGTGCATGCAAATGGCCAGAAGACTTTTTCAGCCTAATTGAACAGATTGTTTAGTGTCGGCTAAGTGTGTACTATTGTGCCTAGTTTATTGCCACAATATTCAAGTTAGAAAAACAAAGATACTGTTTCAGAACAAAAGTAAAACAAATCTGCTTTTCAATAGCTAGGAAAAAATATTCCATAGTGCATCTCAATCTTAAAGCAGTAATAATGCATACATACTTAAAACCTTTTACCTAGATCTAAGTTAAAAATATACATATATTTAGTCATATACAGGTTACTGTAAACTGAAATCTGCATTATATTATTATCATCAGTTTCTTGACTTATTTTTTACAGGTACCAGTTAGCTAACTTAGCATCTTGGTATTCTCCCTTAGTAATGCGTTTTCTTGTCCAATTCTCACTGCTAAGAATATTTACCTTGTGGCTGGTCTAAATTCCCTCTCTTTTATGCAGTTTAAATTTGTTTTTCACCCTCCTACTCTCTTCAGAGATGAAGAATGACTAGTAATGTCTGACAAATTGAGAAGGCTAAAATAGCATTTTGTGGTCAGGTTTGCACAGCCAAACTGAATGGTAGACTTGAAACGAGTAATTGAACAAGACAGACAAAAAGAAGATACTTTCATTTTGTTTTGTTTTGTTTATCCAAATGATGGCCTTATTTCTTTACTTTACTTTTCTTTGCCTTTTAAGACCCAAGAAGTCACTGGAATGAAGGAACATATTTTGGTTACATAAATCACCTTGCAAAGGCTCTCTGAATTCTAAGAGTTCCTTTCATTTTAGCTGTTGATGAGTGAATGTATTTGTTTATTTGCACACTAAGAAGTAAGGAATGAACTAGACTAACAAAGTTAATTAATATATGTGGTGAATAAAGATAAATAATACCCTGAAGGGTAGTCTGATGGGGAGTATGTGCTGAATTATTATTCATCTTTAAGAATTAAGTGCATTGCAGATGCCTTTTATGAATACCTGAGAGTTCATTTACTTTTAGTGTAAAGATAATCTTTTTTTTACTGACTCCAAGGTCCATTCTCATTTTTAAGAGATGACAATAGGAACTGATCTGGGGTTTGGGGATAAATGCTGATTTATTACTCCTTGACTTTTTTTTTTTTTTTAATTTCTATATAAAATGCACTCATGGGAATACAGGGCACAGAAAAAGTTTAATCCTTACCACTTTTAATAGTCATTCTAATGATAAGAAGTGATATCCATCAGATGTATAGCAGGAATTACTAAATTAATTGATTTTGACTACTTTTGGCCCTCTCTGGGGAAATAAAAAAGATATCCAAAAGGCAGGCTGGTAATTTTTGTGCTTATTTTCAAGGCTGCCTTACAGGTAAGAATTATGGAATAGAAGCCAGTGGTCATGAGGTCTTTTTTTCATTACTGCCTGTGATTTCATAGACCACTTGACTTCTGAGTGACCACTTATAAGTGAGATGAGGAGAACTGCCATTTGCACCAATGGTAGTATGACTTGAGCATATAAACTTTCAGGTCTTGGAGGATAACTCCATTGAAGCAGACTACACACTGTGCATACTAGAATACACGCGAGGTATTAGTAATTTAGATTGATGAAAGCATGTTATTATTGTAATGTTTTTGGCATCAAAATCTTTGTGCCCCAAAATATTACTATTTTATGATTTGGGATTAAGCTATAGTACACAGAACCAGTGCCTTAATAAACCAATATCCCATGAACCCTAGTAGAGAATGTAGATGTAAAGATTTTGCCTATTTTATGTAATAATGCATTCAATGCAATATTATAGTTAGAAATATTTAGACTATATTTAGAAATAAATAAAGAGGCAGCAAAAGCTAGTTTGAATACACCTTAATATGCTCACTATGCTATTATAATGACTTCCATTAGTCTTCAACCTGCCTATATGCAAGCTCACAGAAAAGGTTTTGTTTTCTAGCATAATTTGAGAAAATCCCCAACTATTAATGACATATAAATGTTTCTGTATAGCAGAAAAGTAAACTGAATGGTCTGGGCATCTTTTCTGTTTTGCCCCTAATTACACTCTGGGAAAACAGTGACTTTTTTTTCCCCTCTCTCTCTCTCTCACACACACACACTGTGAAAGTTATGAGATTCTTTTGCTCAAATCACCCACAAGGAAGGCTTGGAAGTTCATGTTCCCTAGAGAGCTTCCAATTCTGCTAAAGAAGATTAAATGCCCATATCACACATGCCATAATCCTGCAGCCAACAACAACAAGGAGCTCAAATCTAGCCTGGCCCTAATCTAGGGAGCTACCACAGTGGGCTGTCAGCCCAGCCTGGGGCGCCTTTCATTGCCATGTCGTGTACCAGCCAAGATGTTAATTCAGAAATAAATAAAGAACCATCCTAATGCTTCCTGCAATATTTGGTTAACACTTTGAACCCTTTTTATGACTCTGAAACAATTATTTCTGAGTTGGGCACAGAGGCATTTGTTTCCTGCTTGATTTCACCTGTTTGCACCACCGAAGATGTTTAAAGGTTCTTTGCTTACCCGTGAAGTTGATTTTCAGCAAGTAATCCTTGTACAGCTTCTTCCCATCCAGGATCTTCATAGCATCACAAAGCTTGGTAGTGTTGGGACAGAGGGCGCGCTGCATTTTGTGCAGGGCGTGGGCCATGGCGTACACCGCGTTCACCACAAACATGATCTTGGACTCTTGCTCGTAGTTGCTGCTGTCGATGGCCAAGTGCTTGTCGCAGACGCGCCTGTGGTTCCGCTTGTTCTGGAGGCTGCACTGGAACTTTTGCTCCCAGAAGTCCCGGAACCAGGGGTTGCGGTGGTTGTTGTAGGGGTTGAGGCTCTGGAAGTAGCGGTCGAACTGGCGGACGGGCTGCGAGGCCAGCTCCAGGGTGATGGCGCCGTAGGCCACGTGCTCGCTGCCCTTGACGATGCTCTCCTGAGCGCCCCAGCCGTCGCTGGCCACCCAGGTGAAGGAGGCGTTGGCGCGGCTGGCAGCGGCAATGAGCTCCCGCGAGTCATCGCTGCGCATGAAGAGGACCACGACGCGCGCGTTGGGCTTCTGCAGCAGTTCTCGGATCACGCTGTCGTAGGACTTGCGGATGTTGGAGCGGCCCACCTTCTCCGCCGTGGCGATGCAGATGTTGCGCAGGCGAGCTTCCTGCTCGAAGGCCTCGATCCCCGTCTCTCCGTAGTCGCCCTCGGAGGCCACCGTGGACACGTAGGTCCAGTTGAAGAAGCGCAAGATCTCGGCCATGGCTTTGGCCTGGTAGAAGTCGGGGGGCACGGTCCTGGCAAAGTAATCATAGCGTGACTTGTCACTGAGTTTGGCGCTGGTGGACGCGTAGCTGATCTGAGGAATCTGGAAGAGCCGCAGCAGATTTGCCACCTGGAGGAGGGCGAAGAAGGACCTTTGTTAGAAGCCCAGAGGCAAGTGACTGGACGTGAAAATAAATAATACCATCTACACCTTTTACTGACTCCCTTTTCCCCTCTACTCTAAATCGTTACACTTTTTGATAGTTCTCGAGATGAATGCCAGATGCTTCCTTGGATACTCTGTGTTGGACGCTAGGGAGCAGGTCTCACACAGGTAGTTTGTGCTTCAGAATGGGGCGGAGTAGAGAAATGGGAAGGGTACCACACTCTCTTCTTCACTCTGTGCTAGACTCTAGACTAGCATAAACCCCGTTCAGGGGCTTTCAATGTGATTGCTTTAAGTTTCTGGGGTCCTGCTATAGCTCAAGCAATGAGCTATGCAGTGAATTGGCCGAACTCGAATTTTAGACAACTTGGCTGCACTTGTATAGAAAGAGCAAGGGTGTTGTCTAAGTCTCACTTCCCCCTCTTTTGCTAAAAACAGCAGTCTCTGAAAGAGTTTAATTTAGGAACTGCATGCCACATGGACAGTCCAAATTAGACATTTATCATCTAGGTTAGGCAAAAAAAAAAAAAAAAAAAAAAATCAATTCTATTTAGTCCACCCAACATTTTAGGCATGCAGTTTTCTAAACTCCTGAAAACCTTGACCAACATTTTCTTTACTTTCTTTTTCTTTTTAAAAATATCTTTCTGTGAAAACAAATCATACAAAAATGCTGTTGTTATGTTATTTTTATTAAAAAATCAAATAAAAAGGTATTAAGAACAGACCACCCACTTCCAAGTATTTAAAGCTAATTCTAAATCAAAGATTTAAATTTTTTATAATTGAGCTATCAATAATATTTATTGTTTTTATTTACTGTAGAATAAAAAGGAAAATGACATTTGTTAATTGAGGAGCATTTTATGCATACAGTATTTGAAGAAATATATATTTATAAATATCTAAATAGATTATATGCATATTGAATAATAATATTTTAAAAAGACTTTCTCCTGGCTACATCACATAGGACAGTTCTTTCTCTATACTGACTTAAGTTAAATTATATAACATACTAAGTGGATTTTAATCAGAAATGGCATTGAATATTACAGTATGCTCTATTTACATTGGCATAAATATTAGTACTTTGAAATTTTTCCTTTTGGAAATTGTGGTTTCACGTTTATATTTGACATGTAGGAAGCACAGCTTGAAATAGGCAGCTCTTAGCAAAGAGCACAAGCAACATAAAACAACTGACATCTGAGCCCCAATTAATCATCATTTCATCTGGCAAGAGAAACCAACAGCCAAGTTCATACACAGCTACACAGCATGTTCTTGGAGATCTGGCCTGCTATTAAAACCAACACTAGATATAGTTCAGAGCTATCAAAAATATTTTCTGTATGTTTTCCAGTCCTGCTACCTCTCAACCACAAATAAAACAGCTAGAAATCCTGGGCTTAACACACAGCGTGATGCAAACTTAAAACCCCAAATCTTTCTGCATTTAGTATTCCTGAATTTGGGAGAATGGAGATGAATGGGTGGATGAAGCGGTAAAGGCTAACATACTATTTATCTCTTTTTTTTTTTCAGGACTCGGAGACTCTGGACAAAACGGCCTGTACTGACTTATTTAGGCATAGGAATATTGCTTCACTCAGCCTAATTCAAATGGCAAGTGTCACCGAACAGGTACTGTCATTACTTCTAGAATAAGTGCCTGGCTTCCATTGGATTTATGTACCACTTTGGAAGACTTGGTGATAGGAGCCCTGTCTGTGCATAGGCCTGACTTTGTTATGAAGTTTCTGGCTAGTACTGGAGACACCATCACTTCCTGGTACAATAATTTCCTTATCTTCAAGTTATATTCATTAGGACCTGAACTCCATCAGGGAGACAGAATGAAAGAATCTAAAAAATATCTGGACATTATTTTCTGGCAGCTAGGAATCATAGTGAAGCAATCCTAAACTGCTGAAATTTCTTCTCCTAGAGGGGTAGGAGTAATGAGAAGCTGCTAAAAAAAAGTTCTTGTTTTTTTTAATGATAGGCTTCATGTCTACCTCTCCAGGATATATGAGAATAATTTACAATCAAGGCAGGCTGTGCAAGAGAATGAACTGGCCATAGAATAACAGCAATATGGAAAAGATTCTCTGCATTGGAAAGGGGCACAATGAGCTGTAGCTTTGGGGAAGTCTGTGGGCCAGAGAGCAATTATTGCCATCATTTTAAGAATAATTTTATGTTCTCTCTCTCTCTCTCTCTCTCTCTCTGTGTGTGTGTGTGTGTGTGTGTGTGTGTGTGTGTGTGTAATGAGGAGATCACACTGACTGTAGAGAAAGGAGGCACATTTGGTGAGTTGAAACATGGGAATGGAACACAATAAGTATGATCTCAATTGAATCACCTATATGGGATAGTATGGGGTGATAATGCAGTTAGACTTATGATATTCAGAGTTACATTAGAAACACATGTAATACAAATGAATCATGGAGTGAAGTGTTGAAGTAATTTTATCACAGTGAGCTGCTCCTTTTAAAATTAGTTTCTTTAGATTATAAGGGTTAAAATGCTTAAAAGTAAACACCACGAGAGGCAGTAGATTATAAGTCTCTTTCCTTTATCTTTCTCATCCACTCCAGCCTTATTTGTACAGAAGAATGTTAGTTTGGTTTATTCATTTAAAAAATATGTTTGTTCTTTTGTAAAACCGTGTACCAATGTACTGGTTATACACACACACACACACACATACACACACACTCAAACACACAAACAAACATTCTTTTCTTTTGTTATTCACAAAAGCCTTTCATGGTGGATATTACCATCTCTATTTTAGAAATGCAAAACTGTTCTGCTAGGTGAGGAAACTTGTTCATAGTCATATGGTTGAAATGTATGGGCGAAATCAAAGTGTTTTGACTTCTAGTACCATGGCTAACCCCACACAATAGTCATACCCTCTATTGTGTGACTATAAACCTGAGGCTTCAAACACAGAAAGGCATCCAGGTGGAAAGTGAAAGAGAAACAGAAGCAAATGTTATGGTATACACCATAGACTGCCTAGTTGCTGTTAGCAGGAACTTACTTTTTAACATAAATTTAAAACTAGGGTTGGGGAATATCCAGGTAGTTGTTAACTGGATGCCTGTCACATTTGCCAAAAGCTGGGTATCCGAAATATTCTTGACTTACTTTACTGGCCATATGGTTTCCCTGAGAAAGCATGAAGAAATAAAGGAACTCCTACATTGGACATCATTTTTGAATGATAAAAGAAAAATTGTTTTAGAATGGAGAAGTAATGTACAATTTTGGAAGAAAGTTACCCAATTATGTTATTATTAGATAGAGTGGAGGAAGGAAAAGCAGGATATAGTTATATATGCTTTGGAAAAATATTTTAAAAGTGGAGATATGTTTCACATAAACTAAGTTAAGACTCTAAAATGGAATACAGGAGGACTTGAAAAATAATTCATACAATAGAGAATAGTCTCAAGAAGGAAGTGAAGATGGAAACTCTAAAGAATCCACTGGCTGCTAGGCTGTACTTGGGGGATTTTGGTTTTAGATGAACTAGTAACACAGAATGGGTGCTGTCTGTATCTATGTTGGGGGCATCCCCATATACAACATAAATGATGAACATGAGCCTATAAAAATAAGGGACATTAAAGCACAGAATGTAAAAATGCAGCAAAGTAATTTTTGTTGTTGCAACTGTTTTGTTTTAAAATTATATTTCAGGAGAAGTTGTGGCAGGAAGATATAGAATCATCACAGAGGAAAGTTGGTTCTATGTAAATAAAAGAAAGATGCTGCTCCATCTCTCTTGCTTTCTCATTCTCTCCATTGAGAATGGTTTCTAACATGGAAATGGTAATACAAATAATATGAAAAGGTTACCACACACAAAAGTAGGAGAGAATACAAAAAAATGCCTGTAATCTTATGAATGGAATTTGTCCCCATTAATGAATTCTGGAAGAAGTTTCAGTTTATATTATAAATTTACTATCAATAATATTTGAAAAACACATAATGGGAGGACTCCAACAGGGTGAAAAGGGAGGAGGAATGAATTCAGGATATATAAATCAAGAAGAAATATAATTAAATAAGCATGATGTGCTTTGGTAATCTTCTAGAACAAAGTTGCTAAGAGAGAACATGGAAACACTTAGAACTGAACAAGGAAATTACTAGGAATCAGCATGGGTTTAATAAGAGGGAATTTTACCAGGAGCCATCTTTTCAACATTAGATAAGGAAGAGTTGCAGGCTAGAGGACTATGACTTCAGTAAATTATTGGTGACATTACTTGGACTCTTGTGGGAAAGAGAAAGCGATAGGAGTTGGGTAACATACTTAAATATACTCCAAGACGGCAGCTTGGAAGAAAGTCTATATATAGTGGCTAAATAAAATTAAATTTGTGTTAATACCATTGAAAAAAGTATAAATAAGCAGTAAAAGCCTTACATTGTAAAGATGAAAGAAGCCATGAAGATGATCTCAACCTTTTGTTTTATAGGTAAAGACACAGAAGCTCACAGGGTGAAGTGACTTTTCAAAATTTAGCAACCAATAGGCAGAAAGGCTAAGATTAGAGCTTAGTCCCTTGATTTTCTCTAAGGACTAGGTTCCTTCTCTGGAAACAAGGTGATATTATATAAAACAAGATGTAAATTGCTGAATCTAAGTTAAAACTACTCAGGTGAAGAAAGAAGAAAATACTAGAAAAAATGAAATGATAAATGCAAAATTGAATATTGCAGTTCAGCATGTGCCAGAAATCTGAGTGGATAAAGTCAAAGACGGATTATTAAGTGGCTTATTCTGTTTAGATTCCAATTCAGAATTTCTCAAAAGTGCACGAGGAAAAGCTATTTCAGTTTTCCTGTTCTCTAAATTACTGTTTTCAGACTACCTTTTTGGGGGAAACCTTTTAAAGGTCCCTAGTATTTTCAATAGTCCTAATGTTTTTGTG